TTAAAGTTTTTTAATGTCAGAGTAAATTGCATATTGGAACATGAAAATTACATAAATATATGGAAATAACACTGTTTACACTTTTCACTGGAAATGTATTTTACGCCAATCCCGGGAAGATAATTTATAGAGTGCCATGGAAAGGTCACCTGACACATGTCACCTGAGGTCAGCTGTCGAATGCGTAGGGGGGTAAACACCAGATGTTAGGTTCGCTTTCAAGAAGAGACGCACATATTTCTTGCCAACAGACAAAAATACCTCTTGCGGTGACAGCTAACACTACTGATTTTTAACGTACCTGCTTGAAGGGAAACGCCATCGAGTAAAATACAAACAAAAACAAACATTAAAATTCAGTCTTGATATACGATGAATTTGACCTCCAATAGAAGAGCACATTTCCCAATTACGTAAGCGCATGCGCTTCCAATAGAGGAAATACGGTATATCATTTACGTAAGCACATGTGCTACTAAAATAGCAAATACAGTATTAAATTGAGATTTACATATTTAGTAATGATAGCATGCTATGAAGACAGATATAAAGAAGTTGCCAGGATATAAAATGGCTTCCAAGTGTGACACATACCTATTCTATTGAGTTTATAATTTTGAATGATAATGACTTTCTCTATGCATAAAATAGTTATCATTAAAAGTACAAATTATTGATGGATATTATCATTCCTTTAAAGGTTACTTGACAATAAAGCTTCTGGTGCCAGTGCATTTCTTCAGAGGCAGTTCTGGTCATGTGTTAAGGTAAGATTTACCTGAAAATATTTCTCTTCAACATATAGGTGATCTATTTTGGGAAAGTGTAGTCTGAGGTTCAGCTAATAAAGCTAGACTATAAAAGAATATACCAATAATCTTGATTTTGTTTCCCCTGAAGGCCTTCAGTTTAATGTGTGTACTGTAATAATAGTAGTGTTCACGCACAGCTCCCAAGCACTGGCTAAGAGGTCAATCTCCTGAATTTGCTTTGGTATGATTTTATAAGTGTATAACTAACATGCATACCTTCCTAGTTGTTGTACCTAGTAATCCCAGTTAAAATGACTGAAGATTTTTGTATATTCTTAACAAGTTTGGGCGTTAGTTAGCGCCTGCTAACCACTATTTCCTCCAGTGTGTGAATTGCAATTGGGTCTATTCGATATGCAATATGAGATTAGCTTGAATCTTAGCCCGTACTTCGTGTAGTGTGAAGGGTGAATACAAATATAAAATGTTTGAGCCAGATTGACAAATTACATCTTTTCAATGTGTTTGTTATTTTGGGTAAATTGAGTCCGAAAATGATTAAAATTCGCATTTTTGCTCTGATGAAATTTTTTATATTTCAAAATTTTGATATCAACATTGCATAAAAAACGTTGTGTATTACTGTTTCTCCTACAATGCATTGCACACATGTGCAGTAAGAAGCTCACTTGTGCAGAACTGCCCTAACTTACAGTCTTTCCATTTCTACTTTATGTTGATTATTTCTTTTTTGAAGAAACTAATTTAAAAACTGCTCTATTTGTATTTAGCTCCTAGGCAATATGCTAATGTGGAATGGCATTGTGTCACATGAAATCTTACAAGAGTTGTCATTAGATGGTCTTCTCAACAGATACTTGCTATTGTCTTTACACAACTCGGATATCAACCTTGATAGTATTGAGAAGTGTAGAATGGTAAGTGATGATACGTATGGTAATATTATGTGTGTGATGTCATCTTTGGCTCGCAACTCCCAAGACAACTGTATCCGGCTGCTATACGGGAAGTCACTCATCCAAAACGATGCCAGATTTGTTCAGGGATTATATTTTTGTCATATTTGCTGACACAGTCCCAAAAGCATGGACGAAATTCCTAGTAGGAATTGTTCGATTTTTTTCTTCAATAAAACATAGGACTATTTGACTAACTGTGATGTGGTCCTATCATGGGCAGGCATCACAAATCAGAAAGTCCTAACTTCATTTGACAGGGATTCATCATTATTTAACATAATTTAATGAAAATGTGCTGTCATAGTTAGGCATTATATTAACAGGATGCCTTTATTTACAAGATATTCTAACACATCAAGTAAATGTTTAGTTCTGTTGTCATCAAAGATCATTGTCTAAACAAAAGTATGGCAGATAAATTGTCAGGGTAAATATGATGGCTATAAACCATCGTTCTGCCCTGGTACATAATTTAAAATTATTTAAAAGTATATGCCAGTTGTACTATAATAGTATTCTCTTCTAGCAGCCACACTGATCTACGATGCCTTATTAGGAGCGTCTTCCAGCAACTGTTCCACCGCCTGTTACTAATCGATCAACATTTGTAATCTTGTTAATTTCTAGATTGTGTCCTGCTTTCCAAAGAGTTGGTTTTTCAAATTGGAAGGAGATAGCACAATAAGGCAGTTAGAAAACCTGTGTCGGTATTTAAAACATGCAGTCAGTACATTACACATGTCATGTGCTGGAGGTACTGATGTGGAAAAAAGAAAAGTCAGGTGGGTATCATTAAATATTAATATATTAAATGTACACAACTATTTAATGTATTCACAAACAAAATGCTCAAACGAAATTAAGTGACATTGATGTGTATTATTTATTTCATTGCTACAAAAATGTATATGTGTCTATAATCTTCCATGTTGATGAATTCAAAGTGTTATCAAACTCTATCTAAAATGACCTAGCTTTTTTACTTTTTGTCAAATTTTTTCATGTTTTAACACGTGCCTTTTCAAGTTTATATATAGCATATTTTGTGTAGAAAAAATGGGGATCAACCTATTCCTTTTGGAGAAAATCATGGTTATAAATAGTCCTACAGTCTCGCTCACATCGGAAGTCATGGGGGCTCAAACAAGTATAAAATAGCCTTAGAAACAGATGAGAAACGCATAAATATGTTTAAGGAAAATGAATATTTTGTAAAAAAATTATATAGCCACAAATTATCACCACTCAATTCAAAACAAATAAAATCTTTGAAACAAGGACGTTGATGATGTTTTTATTTATAATCATTGTCCTTTGACCTTCTGCACATTTGTAGACGCATCAAGGAACTGTCATGCACACTATGAAAGTATTTATAACCTTGATTTCCACAAAAAATACAAGATTGATCTCTATTTTTTCCTGCTCAAAAATATTGTTAAATTAGGTGAAATTGCTATACCGATATATCAACATTTGAGTGAATTATAAGTATTTCAATGGACGTTTCAATCGAATGCAAATCCAACCGAACACTGTCTTCACACTAGTCTTTTCAACAACGTTTCTTTTGACTAAATACCAAATCTAACTGCAGAATCATGTTTTACAAGTATATGTATTCAAAATAAAGTACCCCTTGCATTGTGGTTGTTGTTGAAAAGAGTTGTTTTGCAGAGCATTCCATTGAATACAGAAATTTGATTGCCATCTTTCCTTTTATGCAACCAGAACATATAGAAAATCACTTCAGTGATTCACGTCCTTGAACACTGCACTTAAAAGCATTCCAAAATTAACAGACTGGACAGGAAAAATGACTGTGTATTTACTTGTATTTACCATATTTTTGGGGAGGTCACCCTACATCTGATGATCCCTACAGGAGATCGCAGCACATCATATCAGCGATGATTTCAACAAAATGTGAACTTCAATTTTTTTTACTCGTGACATCAACTTAACTATATATAGGCATGTGGATAGGAACAAGTCATTGTCAATGACACGTCCCCGTTCCGTTCATATTTGAGTGACATATACATTCAAAGCAGATCATGACCGAAATGCACCTGCATATGTACAACACATTGTACTAAATCTGAACAAAATCCATGCATGCATGACTGAGATCCGGTTCTGGAATTGTGAAAATACGTGATTTTAATGCATTTTCGGCCTTAAAATGGCCATCATTCAGCTATTGCTAAGCGGATCATGAAACAAATGCACATACATATTTGTGACATGATGTACCTTGTGTGTGTGAAGTTTGAACTTGATCAATCCAGACATGTCTCGGATACGGATCCAGAACTGAATTCTTTAAAACAAAATGGCCGCCAGTCGGCCATTTCGAACTTGATCTGAAAAAAAAAATGACGTGCATCAAGGTCCTATTATGTTTAATGTATGTACCAAATTTGAACGAAATCCGTCCATGCATAACTGAGATCCGGGTCCGGAATGGTGAAAATGTGCCATTTTGATGCATTTTCGGCCTTAAAATGGCCGCTATTCGGCTATCGTTAATCGGATCATGAAAAAAATGCATGTGCATATGTCCCATATAATGTGTGATGTATGAGTGAAGTTTGAACATAATCGGTCCATGCATGTTCGAGATACAGGTGATCACGGACGCACGGACGGACGCACACAGGGCAAAACATAAGTCCCCGTTTTCGGACTCCGTCCGAACGGGGACTAAAAAAGTGATTTAAAGCAATGTATATAGATCAGACAGAATTAGAAATGCATCTCTCTGACAGCTTGCATGACTTTGAGCCTTGTTGAAGATTGAAAGTTCATCACTACCATATGTCGCCCAATGTGTGAATTCACATCTTTGATTGGATGACCTGCCTTGATCTTGTGTCACTACAAGCTCGTCAGATCAACAAAGATTTCAGTTTCCTAATTTTGAATTTCTGACAACGAACTTATATATTTTTTTGGACGCAACTTGAATGTCCTAGCATTATTTTTTGACAGCTTTGCATACTTTCCATTAGTCTGACACTGTTGTGTGGCTAATATTCTCACTAAACCTGCCAATGCCAATTTTTATCCGTATATTTTTTTTGCGCTTCAAAAGTTCATAAAGGTGCTGAAATGCCCATAGGCTATCTTTGCTTGATGGTATGCTTAAACTGTGTTCATTTGATTTTATAGGGAACGCACAAAGACTGTTATCAGGATACTAGCAGACATCCATGCTGTTGATCATACGATAGATATCGCGAAAGAATATAAAGTGAAAGATTTGCAGTCAATCATCGGACAATAACAGGGAATCAAGCCTCGTATTCAGATATTGCTTGATGATGTTGCTGTGATATTGATGGGCATTACTCAGAACTTACAAAAACGGTAACAATGTACATTATGATAAGCATAATCGGCGTCAACACTTTCCTGACATTTATCCTGAACAGAAGAATGTCTCTTCCATGCAAACTGCAGTCGAATTAATGAATAAAATCTAAATTTTAAAAATCATTGAAATTTTGGAAGATAAAAAAAATAATTGTATATTTTCTCGGATATGCGGGTGATCACAGTTGAATTTTATGGCTTCTTATTTTTTTTAATGCAACAGCATATCCAAGGCAGTCATGAATATGTGTGGATTTCACTTCAAATATTGCTTTGTAGTTTTATGGACATGCTATTGATAAATTAATATCATAAGTTTGTTCTGAGAGTATACTATTTTTTTTAAGCAAAATTAAAAATCATGGAGCAAAATTTATTAAAAGTTTCAGATTGTTTTGTTGTGATGTTTATATAGTAAATATTTGACTTAAACAACTGTCATTTCAAGGATGTGTCATTGCCTTCCTACCAAGTTTCAAAACATTGAAGCAGTCACTTTTGTCATCTCCTACATTGGAATTAAGTTTCGGATTTACATTAGTTTTGTCGTATCACTCAATATTTGTATGCACAAATGAGTATAGATAATCTTGAGATTTTATTATTGCCTATTTAAATATTGGTACACCATGTCCACATTCTGGAAACCCAACTCTTACAGCCCAAATCAGTGTATTTTGATAGTTGTGGCAATTACTGGTATCTGTTGATATAGGGTTTTAAAAAATCAAGGTCATCCGTAATCTTATATGATATACTAATAGCTCAGAACGAATGCTCCCCAATTTAAAAAAAGTGTGAATCTGATGATTACAGACTAAACACGCACACACACCTACTAGAAACGAGTGTTTGCTGGCAGTGACAGCTAAAACTCAATCCATTTATTGCAGTTACATCACATCTTTCAGTATCAAGAATAAGTTGGCACGTGGACTACATTGAAAGGCATTGGAATTGATCATTGATCTACATTTTTTTTTCACAACAGGAAAACATATATGCTTGTTATTACATGGCTTTGAGTGCTGAATGTCTTGGTAAAATCAAATTTTTACTGCGAAGTTCTGCCTCAAAAGTGGGCGTCCTCACAATACTGAAATCGAGCCCGCTTATTACCAATCAACTGTATATTGTATTGTTTCAAGGACTGTAGCTGCAATATGGTTGATGAAATCTCATGTCTTCCACTGCTCAAAAGTAGTTCAAAAAATTCTAGTAATGCTTTGAAAATATTTTTAAAAATCAGTAAAAACGCTTCAGTCAAGCTACCTTTGTTCTGGGTCTCACGGAGTTAAATCACACTAGTTTTGAACTGAACTTCGCACAGATGGTTGTCCTC